TGCTTTTTATGAAATAAACAAAATTTCGATAACAATTTAATATAATACAAATTAAATTAAGCTAAAACGTATGTTGTCAAATCGCAAAAATAATCATTAGATAATACCTAATGATTATTTAATTTTATAGGCGCCTCAAGTATAATAATTAGGTACAAAAAGTTATCTTATTTTTGCGATTTGACAACGTAAGTTTTGGCTTAATTTAATTTTTATTTAGATAATAGGTTCTGATTGACACTATTTTAAAATAAAAATAAAAATAATATTATTTGCAGAAACGCACCCGTGCAATATGGTTAAGCATACCTGCAAAATTAAAAATATTTAAAGACTACATTTAAACAAATTTATTTTAAGTGATGTTAGGGAATTATTTATTTTTTTATTAAATAATTAGGCTGAAGGACCCCGGTCGATGGCCTTTTGTATGTTTTGTATTATATATAATACAATACAGAACATATATGTTCTGTATTGTACTGAATATGCAATAAAAACTTTATTTATTTATTTATTTTATTAAATAATTAATGTTTAATAATTTTAGAAAATTCTGTTAAAGTTGCGTCATTGACAATGACTCATTGTAATGCCCAGCTTATTTTATAAATATTATGAATTTTGCAGGTACCTATAATTTTATTTTAAAATTTTTTGCACTCTTACTACTACGTAATACTTTAAGCGGATTTATCTATTTATCTGTTCGGTTACTAAATACAATATATTTTTTTTTTTCAGTTTAAATATTAAGGGTTCAAAACCCCTCATCGTAGAAAGCGATTTTTTTAGCATTGAATTAATCAATTTTCTGAAAATATCTCATAAGTAGACTCTTGTTTTATAAATGTTTAAAATTAGCTCTGTTTTACCCTTGATTAAGATAAGGTTTTTATTATTCTTATTATAATATACCCAACTATAATAATTATTATCAGAGACGGATAAGACAGGCGGGAGACCTGAAAATTTCCCGGTGGGCCGGTCGGCCGGTTGGTAAAAATTGGTTAAAATATATTTTGGATATTACCAAATAAATTTTTGAGTTCACCTACTTTTTATAATTAGTTTTATTTAATTACCGTCCGTGCAACTTGACAACGCCGAAAACGGTCACCGCTAATTTGACATTTCACAATTGATCGATGGAATTTTTGATTAGATAAAAAACAAACACTGTTTTTTGAGTAGGTCCACGCCAAATCGGCCAAGAGTAAGACTTCATGTTTCCGATTTGCTTCAAATTTCCAGGGTCGATAAACGAACTAAATTAATGGATAATTCTAAAATTTCAACCTTTTTTATGCATTTTTGTAGGTTTTACATAATAATTTCGAAAAAAATCATATAAACATTTTTTTGATGCTCTTTAAGATAAAATAAAAATTAAAAAAATTGTTAAAAAATTTTCAATAAAAATCTAATTTTTTTTATTAAAATTTAAATTCCCAAAAACGCCACCTCAAATTAAAAAAAAATCTTGATGATAGCCCTAAGTTTTCCGCAAATTTTAACTACTTATTTTTGGGATTTTTCCGATTTTTTAATTTGATTGTTTTGTTTAATTTTTAATAAATTAGAAAAAGAAATAATTTGGAGTTTTAATAAAATATAGTTCGAAAATATTAATGTGTGTGAGAGAAAGAGAGCGAGAGAGAATCGTTAAACCATTTTTTCTCCGTTAGACTGAGCGCACGTCTCTCGGAACCGCGCGCCGCGGCGTAGCTACGCGTAGGCTTGGATCTGTAGCGACGATTTCACAGGCATTTCTTTACAACAAAATTTATAACTTTTACAGTTTTTGAGTCCCCCAAAAATAAGTAGTTAAAATTTGCGGAAAACTTAGGGCTATCATCAAGAATATTTTTTTTGTAAATTTGAGGTGGCGCTTTTTGGGAATTTAAATTTTAATAAAAGAAATTTGATGTTTTTTTGAGAATTTTTGAACAATTTTTTTTTATTTTTATTTTATCTTAAAGAGCGTCAAAAAATATGTTTAGGTATATGATTATTTTCGAAATTTTTTCCCTTTCGGGTTTTTAAATAATCGAAAAATAAGAGAAGTGCCATTTTTTTTGTTTATTTTGTAAAACCTACAAAAATGCATAAAAAAAGTTGAAATTTTAGATTTCTGCATTACTTTAGTTCCTCTATCGACCCTGAAAATTTGAAGCAAATCGGAAACATGAAGTCTTACTCTTGGCCGATTTGTCGTAAACTGCCCCATATATTTTAATTTAATTTTCACAATTGTTTCGCTAACACAGTAGCTTCTTCAGAAATTATATAACATAATTATTGCAGGTAATGTGTTTTTTATAAAAATATTAGAAAACTGTTGACAATTTTATCTGTACAATGTACATAACAAAAGTTGTAATAAAATATTTTTTGGGGAATTTTCTATCTTATATAATATTAGAATAAATTAAACCTAAGAAAGATACGAAATCCGAAGTCTACAAAGTACAATGTGCAGACTGTCCAAAAACGTACATATATATGGGCCAAACAGGCCGGTATTTTAAAACCAGAATTATTGAACATAGCAAATCTTTTAATAATCAAATTAATGGTTAGCATCTGCAGATTCAACTTATGCCAACCATATAATTGAAGAAAACCACTCATTTAACAATAATTTCAAAATTTTACATGTTGCAAATAAAGGTACAATGTTAAATTTACTAGAATAATTAGAAATTAATAAATTAAAAAAATGTGATATTATTCTTAATGATCAAATAAAATTCCCCTTTGTTAAATTTATTATAATATTATATAAGAAAGAAAATCCCCCAAATATTATTTTATTGTCATACTGCACTAAAATTTTTATAAAAAAAAAACATTACCTGCAATAATTGTGTTACATAAGTTTGTTATTGGATAAAATTTGAAATCATTTCTGACGAAGCTACTGTGTTAGCAAAAATTGTCAAAATTAAATTAAAATAAATTGATACTCAAAAAACAGTGTTTGTTTTTTATCTAGTAATACATTAGTGACATGGAGTTTCATTAAGTAAAGGTCAAAACAATAAAATACTTGTATTATAATATTTTTGTTTTTTGTTGAAAATTGAAAAATTTTGGATCTTGTTTATGATTCACAGTTTTACAGGTAACAAAACATGGTAAAATATTGTAATATTTTTTTTAATTTTTTAATATTTCTAAATTTCAAACTATAAATAGCATAATGTCAAACTCATTCCAGTATAACTTGGCGCTTTTGTTGCTATAATATATCTATAAGATTATTTTTGACATTAATAAATAAATGTGGGTCGTAGGCCGTAACATAATTTTTTCTTTTAATAAAAAGCATACCTTCTACACACAAAGTGCCAATTGGGCCGCTTGAACCAACATTTTCCTGAGCCGGTCTGACAGAGCCCATTCGTACCTGATTATTATCATTAATAGGTAGCAATATAACTGTTTCGATTGTTTTGTCTGTGACAGATTTGATTCAACTGTATAAATATAGTGTAATACAGTTGAGTTGTGATGATAATCTGGCACAAACAAAATAATCGAAACAGTCATTGCCACCTAATTACTTATAATAGTCTGTATGAATTGAAAAGTTTGGTTTGTATATTTTTATTGAAGGTTTTGATTATTACAATTTCCAAATATCGTGTAATCGAGCAAAAATATGGATATTCGTCGGTGTTTATCTAAAATACCTCGACTTGTATAATATCTAAAATTAAATTAGTCAAAAAGCTTTCATAGTGAAAAAGCACACGGAAAAAAAGCTATTCTATATTAAAGATTAATCAATGATTAATAATCATCTCGGTCCAAGTAGATATATGTTCATCTCACCATTCCGCAAGTATAGCTAATTTAGCTAATTTTCATTCAAGGATTGATTTATTCTTATTTGTAATATAAATTAATATTTATTTAAAGAATATAGTGGGTTGAATGCAAGAACTAACCTATACTTATTTGGATATAAATTCAATGTTAGTTGCAAGGGTAAACTTATTCTTATATCAAGAAAAACTATCACATTGTTTTAAATGTAAGCAATACTTTTTTTAAACAGAACACCCTCAAATAAAATATAAACTATGCTTAATTTAAGAATAAGTATTTTTTCATACAAATTTTATAATTCTTGGATTTACAATATTTACTTTTGGATTAAATATAAGGTATCTTTTACGTAAGTTAAGCAATAATTGTTTCAAATATTATCTATTATTTTTTTAACTTTTGCTTGACTTTAAATAAAGGTTATATAATGACCATGTTTATTTCAAAAGGTAAGAGTGGATTATTCTTTCTCTTTTTCCGACAGAGAGAAAAAGAGATAGGATAATCCACTCTTAATACTAAAATAAACGTAATCACCTGAAAGAAATGATATTGGTGTATGGCATTATCTTAATTATGTTACCCACAGACAAAATAGACTTGCCTTAGGGAGAAAATGATACGGCCGGGCGGGTGCCTGAACGGGTGCCTGTTTTCCAGTTCGCATCATTCATATTTGAGCAGTTGACCTGTGAGGATATATTATTTATGTAAAATTCTTTGAACATTATGGGTAAATGTGTTGTCAAAGTGTGTCCTAGTCGTAGTGAAACTAGTTCCAGCCAATTTCAACCAATTTCCTTTTTCCAGTAAGTAGTAATTACGAGATAAATTTTAAGCGATTTTATTAATTTTGCATGTCAATACCTTGCGTGCGCACACAGATGTTGTATTGTTCTCTCCTGTGCACAGAGCCGTACTTCGTTCATTCTGGAGCGTAAAACTAGATGAATTTCTTTGATAATCCACTAGGAATATTTTAAATTAGATACCGCTCGTACAAAATTATTTAATACGGGCCTGGCAGAATACATATCTTTTCTTATATAATATATAATATAATGTATACATTCCCTTGCCCCCCTTCCCCGATTTATGGCACGCTGGTTTCATGTTAGCGATACTGAACAGGGCAAGTCTATTTTGTCTGTGATGTTACCTACCTGTATTTATGTATACTTGAAGGGTGTTTCTTTTATAACGGACCCCTTTTTGAATATTTGCAATGATTGTTTTAAACCTTTAGACACGTTGATTTTGATGGCGAGGCGGACATTTTTTTAGCTACCTATATTGGAATTTCTGTAAACCCCGCCTTTTGTTTTAAAATTATGGAAGAACTGCTTGATAAGTGGAATTTAAAAGAATTAACCATCAAATTTATGGGTAAGTAATAATTATTACATGTAATGCACAACCCACACAACAAGGTCTGTTCTTTAGCTTAAAAATTTAATCCAAAATCGGTGCAGTTGTGCGCACCTACGTCATCAAACACTTGCCGCCATCTTGTCGCGGGTAATTTAAAATCCCCGAAATAGAAGTTTGATACCGGCCGTTATCTTACCGCGGGTAGTTTAAATTCCCCGAAATTATAGTTATTATATTATTATTATTTATATATTATGGTTTGTTTATAGGTTCTATGGTTTGTTAAATAAATATGTGGAACAAAATATAACCTCTAATTTGTCAAAATTAAAAATATATTTTTAAGTATTTTACCAGTTAACTTTTTTAAGGTTTTTACTTACGCTTTTTTTACTTTTTAAAAAGTTTTTATACCAACAGTTATAAAAAAACGTGCTAATTTTAGAATTAGAATTTACTTACTGGTTAAATACTAAGATTTGCACAATTGAGGTTCAAAAAGGTACGCTAGTACAGTCAAAACACAAATAAACAACTAAATAACTGGTTCAAATAACGTTTAAAAGTCTGTATTAAGGCAAATAAGGCACAAAATCAAATACAATAAAGCACAAAATTTATACAAATCAAAATCTACACGCTTGAAACGTAAACAAACAATATGGCGGCAAGTATTTGGTAATTTTCAGTCTGCGCGAACTGCTAAAGAACAGACCTTGTGTGGGTTGTGCATTACATGTAATAATTATTACTTACCCATAAATTTAATGGTTAATTCTTTTAAATTCCACTTATCAAGCAGTTCTTCCATAATTTTAAAACAAATATTATACGAAACACTCAACCAAATAGTAACAAACAATGCTTGCCGGGCTGACGCAATTCTTTGGGCTGACGCTGTGTAAAATGCCTACACAAACAGCGTTAGCGGACACGTTCGGGAGTGGGAAATATTTTTAAGAATAGGTCAGTCGTACCAATATTAACTATTCTTAGAATAAATATAAGTATATTTATATCCAGTATAGTTTTATCCATAGAAAAAGTATATCCCTTTAAGAATAGAATGGGCTTGGAGGAAATTTTCTAAAATTTAGTCTAATCGATTGTTAATCTTAAAATAAGAATAAGATTATTTCATCTAAAGTCTTTCTTAACATTTAACAAGCAAGAATAAGATCTGCTTGTTTTAAAAAAGTATTTTATTTAGTTTAACGTTAGTTTTTGTCTTGACAATATTAGGTCAATCATCTTATTTCAACTTTACTTAATTTTAAGTTAGGAAATAAAATCTTTTTAATTTAAGGATTGGTTTATTCTTATAACAAGATTAAGTTATTCGTAGCCCAAGCAAATTATACTTAAATCAAGTGAATTTTCTTAAGAATAAAGGTATTCTTACATTAAGAAATCTTTTTTTTCCGTGCAGTCACTAATAAATGTAGTCCACGGCAATTTGTATATCGGACATTTAACAGTCAATTATTATAAAAAAATATCCTCTTAATCCGAAAATACCCCAAAAATTATAAAGAAGTAGGTAGTTTTTGAGATATAGTCAATTCCTTATTACATGAAAAATTGACTATGCATGTCTTAAAAACTGTTTTATATATATATATATATATATATATATATATATATATAATGCAAAACCAATCAATTAGTTTAAATGATTTATATTATAAAATATTTTTCGTTTTTAATATGTAAAACATATTTTATTCTAAATTATTTCTAATGCCGCCTTCTCTTGCAATAAAATGCACTATAAAGAAGAGAAATCATTCACTTTCCTGTCTATCTTATCTATATATCTACGAAGAGAGTGTCGCTGGTTGCAATTGCAAGGCGGTTCTGATCAATCACCCTTGAACTCTGGCCGAGGCCTTGCTACAATTTATACTGTGCCGATCGCATCTCTAACCTAATTTTAAAGTGGGTCAATGACCCAGATTCACATTTCAGAAAAGTGACGATGACGACTTTCTTGCGACGCCACCAGTACACTGACCTTCTCCAGATTTCACTGGCAAGTCGACCTTTCTCCACTAACTTCATTATCATTATCATAAGTTCATAACAATCATTATAAATATTAGTATAATAGTTAGGTATTCTAATAAATGTTTATGGTCTATTTAAATTTCAGTATTTTGGATGAAATAATATAACCAATGAGGTGAATAAATAATCACACATAAAAAAAACATTGAAGTATACACCTGCATTATTTAGAATTATATTTTTTTTTATTTATTTATAGGCATGACCTCCTCAAAATTTTTAACCAATTTACTTATTTTAATTATTTTATTTAAAAATTTATTATATTTTAATTAAATAGCTAAATAGTGATTAGTATGAGTATAAGAGACGTATAACCGGCCCCATTGCCTCATCTCTCCCGAGCCTCGCACAAGCCTCCGTTGTCGTAGGCCGATTTTTTTTTCGCAACCAGCAAATGCAAAAGTGCGAATATCCACCGCGTTCGGTACTTTACCATATTTGGGTCTCGAGAGCTACATGCGAATAGTTTGAATAGCCTTTCCCGGATTCGCCGGGCCGTTGATATACGTCCGTTAGGAACAAAAGGAGGTAAATTAATGAAATTATATTTCAATTTCCAATTTCAGTTATTATTACAATATATATAAATATATATATGTAAATATATATCGTAATAAATGAAAAAGTCCGAAGATTTCTTTGCTATTTAAAATCCACTCTTTAAGTTCTCACGACCGATACCGAACTGACACGGCGCAGGCTGTTTTATATTAAGGTACTAGACACCTAATTGTTTGTTAAGGATATTTTGTATATTTCATATTGTAGGAGGTAGTTTTAAGAGTCTTGCAGTCTGTCTTAAGTATCGCTAAGAATCAGTTGTTGTTTTGTTTTTTTAAATTATGTACGAGTACTAGGTGTTCAATTTTTATTTTAAATAAAGATATACTAATTTACTTTACTCAAATGAAGCTTTTATTTTCTACTAATAAAACTTCAATGGGTTGCTTCCACTGCGCAAATTAGTATATCGCGCACATTTTAAGTTTGTTTTGTTTTGTCAGTCGGTAGTTTGGCGTGTAATCTTAGAAATATGAGTGATAGAGAAGTGTTGAAACTAACAAAACTTGATAGCTCAAATTACACTCACTTTCAAAAGTCTTGCACCCCCCTCGTATTTCAAATATAAAATAAATAGGTACCTACAAAATATTAGTATTAATGAAAAGAGCAACTTATTTATACCTAATTTCAATAAAAAAATACAAAACAAAAAATGTTAAAGTAATAAAATTCTGATGTGGTAAAAAATTCATGATGTTCAATATTTATTGGTTAGTACGCATTAGTTTAATAAAGGTGTAATATGCCTAGAAACGAGTTGTCTGAGTTTAATAGAGCTAGAATTATTGCTTTGTGGCAAGAAGGGCTATCTCGACACCAAATAGCCAATAGAATAAATATTGTTAGAAGCACAGTTAGCAGAACAATAAGACAGTGTGCACGTTGGTATATTTGGCGTTTTCAACTTAAAAAATATATAATCTTTCAAATTTTTTTTTTTAAATAGTGATATTATTAGCTTTACTTTGCAAGAAAAATTAAAATCGCGTATGTAGCCGTTGTGGAGATATATGTATATACAAGGTGTCCCTAAACTTAGTGGCATAAATTTAGGAGCAGATTAAGCAAGTCAAATTTAGACGAAAACCTAAATAAATATTTTTCCTAATTACGTATGTTTAAAAGATACAGGGTAATAAAGTGTTACTTATCATATCAGTTTTTTTTTAATATAACTTCTACTATGGTTCTTGAAAAGGTGATATTTTGCGAACAGTCACTTACTAGCAAAACACATATTCACACATAATTACAATTGTTCGAGTGAACACAATGTCGTAGAAACAGGGGTTGCTTAAGCTTATAGTCCCATAAAAACTTTGAGGTTAAGTTTTTATATCATTTGATGCAATTTTTCGATTACTCAGTTCGGCTACTATTAAAAAGGTGTAGGGGAGACCGAGGCAGCGAGGTCCACCGGGGTAATAAGGACCACCGGTCTACCGCACAGTATGTTTTAATTTGGCGCAAAATGTTACGTTAGTAGGTTGCCAAAACTTCATATCACTGATGTGTTAATGGCGTCCGACCATAAGCAGCTGTTTGAAAGTGCTACAAAATTTCATGGTATGTTGATCTAACTTTTTCATCGCAATATTGTCCATTTCTGAGAAACTACTGGGGAATTAAAAAAAACTCAGTTTATAATAGTGATCCATATTAAATGTGCTTCAAACCTTACCTATTGGTTTACCAATGCTATTGCATGAAAAAATGTTACGAGGTGATTTCCTGCCTAGCGACATTTGAGGTAATGAGGACCACTTAATTTGGGGCAAGCATACGAAGGCGTAGAAGGGCCAACAACAATATTTATTTTTTAATACAATTTTTAATCGACAATTGTCGATCTGATCGACAATTGTATATATACAGGGTGTTTCACATTCGTGGTTCATTAGAAGTTTCTGGGAAACGAAAGAAGATATCGATTTAAAATTTTAAAAGCGTTTATAATCCATTTAAGTCTATTTTTCTAAAATAATTTTAACAGAATGCCACTTCCAGTTTAACCGGAAGTAAGATCAACTTTGTTATTTTAAAATAAACACCCCATATATTTTTACATTTTTAAATTATGAGTAAAATTACTATACAATGTCCTAAACCTAAAGTAAATATTTTTCGAATTATTAATTTTTAAACACTTAATTAGGTAATAAATTGTTTATAACAACCTGAAAAATTGACGCTATTAAATTTTACAAATTACGTGGTAACCATAGAAACCAGTCTTAGATAGAAACCGTCAACTCACCCGTCACAGGTTTCGTGATACAAAATATTATGTAAAATTTTAGAAGTTGTTAAATATCTCTGAAACTATTAACTTTAGGTAT